CTGCGCAACGCTGGTCCGTTCATCGGGAACAACAATTGCGGCAGCGATCCACCCCTGGGCGACGACGCGAGAGGGTCCCAAGTCTGGCCTCAATCCGCCCCCTTTCGTCCCGCCACTGGCTTCTCTTGTGCACCTGGCTGCCAGCATTCTTGACAGCACTCACGCTCATGCCTGGTAAGGTTCCAGAGTAGGGAAGGCGCGCGGCAAGAGAGAGCACCTCCTGCTGTTCCTCCGCCGCATTCGAAGCGAATGGTTCTTGCCTTCTAGAAGGGCAGCATTGCCATCCAAGTTCTAGGGAGACCAGGGTCCCCCAAGGTTTCAGCTGTACGCCGTAGGTTACGCGATGCCGATACAGAATCTGACAACAAATGTTCCGATGCACCCGCAGACAGCACCGCGACCCTAGCAACGTGGACCTACCCTGCTCAGATCACGTATGGAACTCGCGTCCTGCCCACATGAGTTTCAAGCACTGCCTAGCACAAGGACGCTTCCCTTCGGTGGCACCTCATGTGAGCATATGACACCATCTTGTCAGCACTTGCAAACCGACGCTAATCGACGCTAGCCGACGCTGATCGACGCTACATCGACGCAACTCGACGCCAACTCGCCGCTATCTCATCGATGACCAAACGCTAATTGACGCGAGTGCACCCCAGAGACGGGATTGCGAGGGTGCACAAGGCGCCCATACTGTAGAGGCTCGACCACAAGAAACGTTACACATGAAACCCAACCCTGAAACCCCAGGACTTCAATGGATATCCGGCGTGGGAGCGTCGCGCTTTCCATAGCAAAGCCCTCGAAACCCAACATGCCCAGGGCACCCTGGTGGCAAGCAGAGTGGTTCTTGGCATGGGTCTCCACTGTATGAGCTGCTACAGGACCTCCACCTCGTCCCCTCCCTCACCGAGGACGGCCAGCTGAGACAATGGCGGCTCCTCCCCCGCCGGACCCTACTCCGCTCGAGCAAATCCGTCCACGAGCCCCCTCATGAGAGGCCTCGTCGATGGGGTTCGAGCACATGGGGTCGGAGGATCGCGCCGCATCGCCGCTGCATCGGTGCTGCATCGACGATGCATCGGCGATGCAGCGGCGACGTCGGCGACGCATCGGCGCCGTCGGCGTGGAGAAAATGAGACTCCGCATCAAGCCGCACGTCGATGCATCGGCGACGTGGCGCGACCCTCGGACCCCCGTCTACTCTCAGGTCGGGCGTGTCCTTCTACAGGCGGGTTCTGAAAGAAGCTAAACAATAGCCAACAGATGCTCAAAAACAGCCACAAATAGTAGAGACATCGTCCCCCGACTTGTTTTGACTACTTTTGAATATTGCTCCTGTAGAGCGGCATGCACGCCTCAAATCTGCTCCGACCCCGTCTGGGAGGTCTGGATCCGGGGGCCCGTCCCGACCCGCTGCTCGAAGCGGATATCCGGCCGTGGCGTTAGGTCGGACACGGCCTCCTACAGGCGGATTTTGGACGAAAACTGGACAACAGCGAAAAAATGTTCAAACATACTGAAACCTAGTGGAAACATCCTCCCCAGACTATGCTGTGACTACTTTTGAATATTGCTCCTGTAGAGGCCTCCTAGATGGGGTCGGAATGGATGGGGTCGAAGGATCGCACCGCACCCCCGATGCATCGCCGATGCATCGGCGACGTCCGCGTGGAGAAAATAATCGGGCTCCGCATCGAGCCTTATCGGTGATGCATCGGCGATGCATCGGCGATGCGGCGCTATCCTCCGACCCCATCTGCTCGGATGCCATCTGGGAGGCCTAGGAGCTCTCTTCCCAGACCTCCGACGAACCTCTACCCTCGAGGCCCCCGGGCATCGTTCTTCTGGACCCCTCCCGGTGGGGCCCCTGCTCGCCGCGAGTCGTGCATATGACGGCAGTGGGGCCCGAAACCAGCCTCGCGGCCGTAAGACAGCAGTCCAAACCCCATCTAGGAGGCCTGGATCCTGTGGAGGGACACGCCCGACCCACATCTGCTCGGACTCCGTCCGGGAGGCCTGGAGCCGTGGGCCCGTCCCGACCCGCTGCTCGAAGCGGATAACTATCTGGCCGTGGCGGCGAGGAGGCCTCCGTGTGTAGTGGGAGGGCCAGGGTGGAGGGGAGCGGGGGAGAGGCCGACGCGGTCATCGTCGGGCCCCTCCACACCGTTGTCTACTCGTGGAGCCTACGCTGCAAAGAGAAACCTAAATGTGAAATATATAACGGACGGGAAGTCCGCACTCCAAACTAGAGAGAAGAAAGGACGGTGACGTTGCGGAGAAGAAGTTTTAAAGAAAGAAAGTCCAGCAAGAAATGACGCACTTGACAGCCTTTTTACCGTGACCTTCCTTTAACTTTTGCCTCACACGACTTCGACCTCCTCACTTCATCCTCCTCCTCCTCCTCCTACGCCATCCTACTCCCTCACGCACGCCACTACCTGCTCTACTCTCTCATTCCATTCAGGCTCTCCCTCCGGCCTACTCCAGTACTTATCACTACCCCTCGCTGGCTCCCTCTTCTCCTCCGCAGCTCCTCTTTTTTCGGATCCCCAACTCATCCTCTCACTCCCTTCCCTCCTCCTGTCCTCCTCCTCCTCCTACTCTTCCCCTCCCCTTTTCCTCCTTCCTACTCCTCCCTCCTCCTCCTCCTCCTGCCTCCTCCTCCTCTACTCCTCCTCCTCCTCCTCCCTCCCCACAATTCCCTCCTCCTTCCTCGACCTTCTTCTCCTTCTCCTCCTCCTCCTCCTCCTCCTCCTCCTCCTCCTCCTCCCCCCCCTCCTCCTCCCCCTCGCCCTCCTCCACAATCCCCCTCGCTTCTGCCAAGGGGGCCCGCGCAGCTCACGCATCCCAGCTCGGGACGGCGTCGGGCGCCGCTAATTGAGGCAAATCTCGCGGGCCTTGTGGACATGGGCATCTTGTCCGCGACCTGCCCGCAGCCGATGGCCCAACTGGCTCACATCACATCCAGTCACGGCTCACTGTCTTCCACCGACGCCGCTGAGGATCCAGGAGGGAGGCAGAAGGTCAAGAAGGGCGAGATGGACGAAGAGGGGGCGCAGGAAATAAAAGAAGGGAGGGGAAGGCGGAGATGGAAGATGAGGAGGAAGGAAGGGGGGGGAGGACGGGCAGAAGGAAGCGAATGCTGTGGAAATCGGGAGAACGAGGAGGAGGAGGAGGAGGAGGAGGAGGAGGAAGGACGAACGGATGGAGGAGGGAGGACCCGGACCCCCGACGTCAAAAAATCTGTTCACGGCGAGGTCTCGACCCATTCCCCGGGACCAGTTTTTCACCCCGGCTCGGTGTTTGACGGTCCTGGGGCCCGCTGAGGGCCCCCAGAGGCCAAGAACTGCGACAAACCTCCCGCCCTGACTGCTTCACAGCGCGGGGGGGTCTGGGCCTGGGGAAAGGGGAACGCGGCCAAAAGGACAAGGGTTCATTGCAGCGTGGCCGGCATGATCCAGTTCCGTGCCGGGGGGGGGGCTTCGTGCAGCACATGGTGTAACAGGAGGGAGAGATGGCCAGGCACGAAGAACGCGGAGCCGCTCTCGGAGGCCGCCTTGATGGGGTCGGGCTAGATGTGGTCGGAGGATCGCGCCGCATCGCCGATACATCGGCGATACATCGCTGATGCATCGGCGATGCATCGGCGACACGGCGATGCATCGGTGCCGTCGGTGCGGAGAAAATCTGGCCCCCTAGGGAGCCGCATCGGCGATGCATCGGCGATGCGGTGCTATCCTCCGACCCCATCTGCTCGGACCCCATCTGGGAGGCCTAGAACTCTCTTCCCAGACCTCCGACGAACATTTACCTTCGAGACCCCGGGCATCGTTCTGCTCGACCCCTCCCAGTGGGGCCGGTTGTTCGCCGCGAGACGTGCATGACGCTTCTGGGGCCCGAAACCAGCCTCGTGGCCATAAAACAACAGTCCAAACCTCTTGAGGGCACCCTTTGGCTCCTCCGAGGCCTTCTAGGAACAATGGTTGATCGAACAATTCGGAGTCCCCCCAAAAGGACAAACACCTAAGTACATAGTTGCACATGTTCCTTGACGGATCTGGGCGGCGTTAGGGTAGTGTCGCGGACCTCGGGGCCATATTGGAGCCTCTGTGGATGATAGATCGAACATGTATGAAGTAGATGTGAGCACGGAAGCACCGCACCCCCACGCCAGCGTCGGCCCCTGCCAGCCTGGCCGACTTCCAACCGATATCCCCAAATAACCACTTATGACATAAACGTCAGGCCTCTCCCCTAGCCTCGCCTTGCCAGCACCCTGCAGCCTCGCGGAACATCTCCAAGTTCGGCTGGAAGCCCAGAGTCTCCAGCGGGTTCAGGGACGGCACGTGGAACCTCCCATCTCCGCCGCCAGGAGAAGAGTAAGGGGGGGAGGAGGAGCTTTCCTCTTCCTCCTCCTCCTCCTCCTCATTCCCCTGCTCACCCTTTGTTTGTTTATTGGGTTTCTTCTTCTCCTCCTCCTCTTCCTCGTCCTCTTCTGACTACCTACCAGACCACCCCAACCCAACCCGAAGACCCGAAATTCGGGTTGGGGGGGGTATGGGCTCCATGTGTGTTTTTTCGATGCTCCCGGACCCCCCCCAACTAGAAATCGAGGGTAAATCTGAGCCTTCGGGTTGGGTTGGGGTGGTTTGGTGGGTGGTGATCTTCCCCCTCCTCGCCCTGCCTCCCCGAGGGACGAGTGGCAGGTGGCAGGGAGGGAAGGCATCCAGAGCGTGTGGTCCTGGGCTCGCTAGCCACGGGCGCCATTCTCATACTACATTTGAGCGGGGACCGACCGTCCCGGCATTCCTATATGCCTACCACGAAATATTCTTAGAACCCAAACATGTTCTAAGAACAAGACCACTGTTCTCACAACATGAACACGATGTTTTGAATATAAGACGGTCCAAGCCAGCAATGTTCGAATAACATCTCGTGCAGACCACAGAAGGTTATTAGAACAGTCTTTGGTGGGCCAGTAGGCGAGCCAGGACGCTTCGCCACTGCTTGATACATCCCTCCTCCGCCTCCCCGCGCGTGCGCCAGCCGGTAGAAAAGTATGGGAGGCCTTCGAAAGAATGGCCGAGGGCTACTAAGCCACACTAAGGGGCCACTAGGCCAGAGATGGAGAGTGAGGAGGGGGAGTTAGGAGGAGGACAGCAAGGAGGACGAGGAGGAGCAGGAGGAGGTGGAGCGGGACGAGTGAGACGAGCGGCGCTGCGGATTCAAAACGAGGACCCGACAGCACGGGAGCGCTGGAAAACGAAACGAGAAGAGGGACCCCGCGCCCCGCGCCACGCCCTGCTGCCAATGCCCTCCGACGGCACGGACCGCCGCTCCTCTCCCGCTCCACGATCCCACTCCCGAGGGGCAACGAGAAGGGGTCTCTGGCCCAGAGAAGGGAGCATCGAGTGGAGTCGTCAAAACATCGCAGATCCATCGGCGATGGACCCCCGACAGCGAAACCGCACGCTGATGGGCGGGGTGGCCCATCGGACCCCCATCGGCGATCCATGTGGATTGGGGGTCGATGCGGCACCAGACTGGATGAGCCTGGCGAGCTTTCGGCCTTCAAAGGGGTTAAAAGGCATCGTCCACCCCCCCGAACTCCGTTGAGTTCCTCCTCCTCCTCCTCGTCCTCCTCCCCCTTCTCCTTCTCATCCAGTCTGGAGCTGACGATGCACCCCCGCCTGGGCCTATCCACCCTGACGATGCCCCTGACCCGGTCTGGCTTTCGGTGCTAATTCTTTATTCCGCCGACCGCTCGGCACGATCTGGGCACCCCCGGAGCGCTCTCGGTGAGGCGCAGCTGCGGGAACCCATCCCGAGGCTGGAACGCCGCCGAGGCCCGACGAAAGCCGGACGCATCCCTCCGAATGCTGGCCCTGACAACCCGTAGGCGCTGAACATCACGCGGCCAGCGGGCAGCCCGCCACGAAGTGGTCTATCGCGCCATTGCCCTGTCCCCTCCTCCCCCCTCCTCCGCCGCCTCCTCCCTCGTCGCCACTCCTCCACCCTCTTCTTGTTTCTCCCTCGTCCCTCCTCCTCCTCCTCATCCTCCTACCTCTAATCCTCCTCCTCCTCCATTCCTATTCCTTATGAATGATTGATATCTGCCGCGCCCCGAGGCCAATTTCTAGGCGGGCTGGGCGTGTCGCGTGAGACCTCCCCACCACCTGTGACCCTGAAGCTTACACCTTGACAACAGCTTCACAAATGGAGGGCGGGTCGTTTTCAAAATGTGGCTCTCGCCTTAGCGCCGCGCGCACTCGTTTTGAAATGTTGCAAGAGTTTCGCGGATTGAGGGCGGGTTGGTTTCAACATGTGGCCCTCGCCTCAGCGCCGCGCACATTCTTGCTTCAATGTTGAAGGAGTATCACGGGCTGAGTGCGGGTCTTGTTTCAACATGTTGCTATCGCCGTAGCGCCGCGCACATTCGTTTAAGCTTCACGGATTGAGGGCTGGTGGTTTTCAACATGTGGCTGTCGCCTGGGCGCCACGCAAATTCGTTTTAGAATGTTGAAACAATTAACGTTTTGAGGGCGGGTCGTGTTCAAAATATGGCTCTCGCCTTAGCGCCGCGCGCGTTCGTTTTGAAATATTGAAGAGCTTCGCGGATTGAGGGCGGGGTGTTTTCAAGAAAGAAAAGGCTCTCGTCCTAGCGCCGCACACCTTCGTTTCTTAAATTTGACAGAGTTGCACGGGCTCCCATGACCAACAAACCAGAACAACTGCGTTTGGGAAGCAATCAGGATTATGAGGGTGCAAGAGTTACGCTGGTTCGCGGTGTTGAAGCCCTAGGAATGAAGTTGTGGCACGGTTCAAGCTCGTCAAGATGTAACAGTCAGATTGATCCGTGGCATTGGAATTCCGAGAACTATGCGTTGGCATGCTTCAGGGTCATCAAACGGCTGTCTTCCAACGAAGCAGTTCCCAAAGTGGGAATGAAACGTTGTAGGGGTCTGTGAAGAGGAAGCTTGGAGGGAGGGCTTTGTTTTCCAACATTCCTCCTCCTCCTTTTCCCACTCTTCTCCCTCCCCCTCCTCCTCCTCGTCCTCCTGCTCCTCCTCCCCATCCTCTCCTCCCTGCCTTCCTCCGTCCTCCCCGTCCTCCTCCTCCTCTTCCTCTTCCTTTCCCTGCTGCTCCTCCTCCTCCTTCTCCTCCTCCTCCTCCTCCTCCTCCTCCTCTCCCTCCTCCTCCTCCTCCTCCTCTTGTGAATAATCCTTCCCTGTAGCTCCCCGAGGCCAGTCGGAAGGGGGGCCGCTTCCAAAATGTGGCTCTCGTTTCAGCGCCGCGCACATTCGTTGAAACACTGAAGCCGGTTCACGGATTGAGGGCGGCTCGTCTTCAAAATGTGGCTCTCGCCTCAGCGCCGCGCACACTTATCCTAAACATGTCAACATGTTCACGGATCGAGGGCGGTTCCTGATCAAACTGTGGCTCTCGCCGTAGCGCCGCGCACATCCGTTTCAAATTGCAAGAGTGCCGTTGCTTCTCCTGGTAACGCATCAAACACGGCGTTCGGAAAGAATGAAAGTTGTGAGGGCGCAACAATTTCGCAGTTTAACGGTGTTGAAGTCCCGTGAATGGTGTCCTGGCACGCTTCAGGATCGTGAAGACGCAACAATCAGGTCGACTAGTGGCGTTGAAGTCCTGAGAATGGTTGTCTGGCACGCGTCAAGATTTGCACACGATTATCCCCAACAGGGCCCTTCCCTCAGCAGACACAGTAGACACGAAGCCTTGTAGGAGCCTATGACGAGTGAGCTTGGAGGGAAGGTGAATTCCGACATCGTCGATGAGTCTTGGGTTTATACACTGGTCCTCCTCGCCCCCCTCTTCCTCCTCCTCCTCCTCCTCCTCCTCCTCCTCCTCCTCCTCCTCCTCATCCTCCTCCTCCTCCCTCCTCGACGCCTCACTCCTCCCCCCCCCCTCAACACTACCCCCCCCCCTGGGCGGCGCGGAACATCACGCGGCCCGCGGGCACCCGCGCCACGAAGTGGTCTATCGCGCCCTTGCCCTGCCCCATCTTCACGCCCTGCGCCCGCCTGCCGCCGAGGGAGGCGCGCGGCGGCGGCGGGGGCCCGAGGGCCGCGCTCCTCCTCCTCCTCCTCCTCCCCCTCCTCCTCCTCCTCATCCTCCTTCTCCTCCTCGTCCTTTTCCTCCTCCTCCTCCTCCTCCTCCTCCTCCTTCACCTCCAGGCGCCGTCGCTGCTGCCAGCGCGGGGCCTGGCCACCCTGGCCGGGTCCCACGCAACGATCGTGAAGGGCTCAACGGCTTCTGCCGTCCCACGACGTGCGCTGGAAATCCCTGGATCCACCTGGCCTTCGCAGGAGTTGCTTGGATGTGCCGCGGCGATTCTGCATCTGCTTGGATCTATCTGGCTTCCTCTGGCGACACGTCGTCAAACCATTGAGGAAACGAGACAGGTAAACCTGCGTGGGCGCCGGCGGTACTGGGCGATGGCTGGGGGGCGAAGAAGCGTGCACCTCTCGCGCCCCCATAGGAGGGGCTGTCCTCGCTTCAGCGTCTTGGCTGCGCGCAACGCCCGACGGTGACCTGCGATCTCGGCGCCGAGGGAGGAGGAGGGAGGAGGGAGGAGGGAGGACGGAGGAGGGAGGCCAATCAACGAACTGTGCAATGCGCGCTTGCCGGGCCAAGCAGAAGATGGGGTGGCGGGCGGCACCCGAGGGGGGGTCAGGGGGCAGCGCGTGCTGCGAGGTCTTGTCCTTGGCTCGCCCTGGCGCCAGCTTCTCGCCTGCACGGGCATGCCCCGACGCTGGCCAGCGGGTGCCAGCCGTGCGGGGGAGAGCGAGGCACCCTGCTTCAGAGGCACGTACGATGCCCTGCGGAGGGCAGCAGTGGCGCCGTGACGGCCTCCCCGAGGAGCTGGCTCCGCCAGCGGAGCTGGCTCCCCGAGGAGCTGGCTCCGCCAGCGGTGCGGGGTGGGCTTCCAAGAGAAGTTCGCCAGAGGCATCCTCCCTGACCCCTCTCACTGGCCATCGCTCGGACGTCCATGTCCTGTGCTTTTTTTCGGTGTCGTGCGTGGCTTTCTCGCCAAATGATCAGGGATGCTCCTCGATGGTCCTCGCCGAGAAAAAAAAAACACACACACGTCCGAGCGATGCCAAGCCGAGTGGGGGGGTCAAGGTCGAGGGTCAGGCGGCTGCCATTGCCCTCGGAGGGGGTCCTGCCTTGTGCGACGGCTCAGGCATGGATGGTAGGTTTCCCATCTTTCAGGGTCGCGGGGCGGGGGGGCGGGTGTCGATGGCGACAGTCGCTTCGTTTGTGGATGGTTCGGGGCTGTCCTCCTCCCCCCCCAGGGCCCGATCAGGTGGCCCGAGACGGCGAAGATATTGCCATCCTCGCGGCCCTGAAGCACCTTGTAGGCCTGTTCACAGTGCATACCAATTGCAAGGGATCTGTGCAGTGCTGCTGGGACCACAGGCTGGCAGTCCGCCCGTCGAACCCCAGAGCCCACATCTGGAAGCAGACAGTCCAAGAGGGTCGGCCGCCTTGAGTGGATTCCAAGAGGATCCCAGCGCACACCAGTATGGATGATGTTCTTCTTCTTCTTCGAGAAGGAGATAGAGACACGTTCTTAGTCTTCTTCTTCGAGAAGGATCCAGCAGAGAAGACAGGACCACGTTCTGCTTCTTCGAGAAGGAGAGAGAGAGAGAGAGAGAGAGAGAGAGGGCAACGCAGCTGCTCACAGACTGGCCAAGCAGACAGCCAGTCTTAGCAGGCGGAGCCCAGAGGTGGTCAAAATGGCTCGCGGCATGCTCGTCCCGGCCAGGTGTCTGCTCGTATTCAGTTCCAGGGCCGAGGCCCACTGCGCCGATCTGGGAAGTTTTGACGGTGAGGGCGCCCAGGGGCTCACGATGGTGTCGCTGAAGGAGGCGAGGAGCTCGAAGAGGTTCTGAAAGAGGTAAAGAGGAGGGGGGTTGGGGGGTTCCCCCCCTGTCAGCCCCCCTCCCTGCCCCCAGGCCAGGTTCCCGAGCCCCTCCATCCCGAGGTGGCCAGCAGAGCAAAAGATGCGGACCAGAGCCCCTGACAGGCTGCTGGCCACCCGCTCTCTGAGTTTGAGGTGGGGGAAGACGCACACCCACCGATCCTTTTTCGGTTCCACCTGTGGTGTTTGTGCCACGATCGTTCAACGGGTTCGGGGGCTCCGCCAGAGTTGCAGAGGCTCCCAGCATGCCGCCGTTGACCCTGACAAGAAGAACACCAGGGCGGTGATCAAAGGGAAGCACCCCGACAGACCTCTCGAGCTGGGCCCCTGGAGGGCTCCTGCGGGCGAGGCTCGGGAGCTTGCCGGTGGGTTCGAGAAGGCACCGAGGGCCCAACAGAGAGAACTGTTGCAGGGCCCGCCGAGGGCCGTGGTCCGTCCATCGGCTTGGCCAATTGCCTCCAGGCCGTTGGGCTCAATGAGCTCGAAGCCAATGGCCCTGGACCGCGACTGTGCAGGCGCGGTTGCCTGCCAGGGTGACACAAAGGCCTTCCCTGATGGCCCTCCCCCCTGCGCGTTTTCCGGACTGAACCCAACCCTCTGTCTTCCCCTCAGTGGCGAGCGATCCTCCCTCCCCCTCCTCCTCCCTCCTCCGCCTCCTCCTCCTCCTCCGCCGCCTCCTCCACTTTCTCCTCCTCCTCGTCCACCTCCTCCTCCGCGTCCCTCCTGCCTCTTCCGCTTCCCTCCTCGCTCATCCTTCCTTACTCCTCATTCCTCCTCCTCCTCCTCCTCCTCCTCCTCCTTCTCCTCCTCTCCCTCCTCCTCCTCTCCCTCCTCCTTCTCCTCTCTCCACTCCTCCTCCTCCACCTCCTCCCTCCTCCTCCTCCTCTCCTCCTTTCCTCTAATCGTCCTTCTCCTCCCTCTCCTCCTCCTCCTCCTCCTCCTCCTCCTCCCTCCTCCTCTCTCATCATCATCATCATCATCATCACCACCACCACCACCACCACCACCACCCCACCACCACCACCACACACCACCACCACCACATCACCATCATCATCATCATCATCATCATCATCATCATCATCATCATCATCATCATCATCATCATCATCATCATCATCATCATCATCATCATCATCATCATCATCATCCCGCCTCCCTCCTCGTCTTCCTCCTCAGCATCCTTATCATGGCCATGTTCATGATCATGGCCATTGACATTATCACGATCGTGCTGATGATGAGGAGGATGATGGCCATCGCCATCACCAACATCATGATCATCGTCATCACCAGCACCATCATGATCAGTATCCGCATCATCATCATCATCATCAGCATCATCATCATCATCAGCAGCAGCAGCAGCATCAGCATCAGCAGCATCATTATCAGCATCATCAACATCATCATCACCATCCGCATCATCACAATGGTCAGCGTCGTCATCAACATCATTATCAGCATCAAATCAGCATCATCATTGATCATCATCATCGGCATCATCAGCGTCGTCATCATCATTACAATCATCACCGTCACCACCATCAACATCATCCTCCTCATCATCATCAGCATCATCATCGGGAGCAGCAGCCGCAGCAGCAGCAGCATCCGCATCACCAGCGCCACCACCACCACCATCAGCATCGTCGTCGTCATACCATCATCATCAGCAGCATCGTCGTCGTCACCGGCGTGGGCACCGCCCCCGTCCTCTTCAGAACCATCACCATCACCACCACCACCATCACCAACAACAACACACGACAACGAACACAACGCCATCATCATCCCCGCCGTCGTCCTCGCCGTCATCCTCGTCGTCACCACCACCACCACCGTGACCATCACCATCACCAGCCTCCCAGGGCAGACGCCACTCTGGCCTCGCGCTGGCCTCGCGCGGCGTCGGCCGGCCCCGCGCCGCGTGCCCCCGCGCCTCCGCGCCTCCCGACCCCACGGGGCGCGCAGCGCGGCCGTCCCTGCGCCCGTGCGGCGACACCCGCTGCCCTTCGCCCGCGCCTCCTCGGCCGCCCTCGCTGCCCACCAGCCCCCGGCCCACTGAGCAGAGGCGAGGAGATGGGAAGGGGGCCTGAGCTCTCTCTCTCTCTCTCTCTCACCTTCTCTCTCTCTCTCTGTCTTTGCCGCTCTCTCTCCCTTCTTATCTCTCAATGTTTCGCCCTGCTTGTATATATACACACACGTTCCCCAACGGATGCTAGCACTTTGGGGCTCTTACTTGTGTCGAAAGGAACTGGGCCTGAAACTTGGTCTGGCGGCTATGTCGTCGCTGTCGCTGCCCCGTCGCCGCATCGTAACCGTCCATCGTCCCGGCCTGAAACTTGGTCTGGCGGCTAGGTCGTCGCCGTTGCCTCCCCGTCGCCGCCTCGTGGCCGCACATCGTGGCCTGAACCTTGGTCTGGCGGCTGTGTCATCGCCGTCGCCGCCCCGTCGCCGTCTCGTCGCCGTCTCGTCGTCGTAAGTCGCCGAAGTTGGGTTGCACCACAAATATTAGTTGAACAAAGCAAGCCTGCGGCGCGTTTCTTGACCGCTCTCTACACATATTACACTACATATATTGCGCAACATGAACCGCATCGCATATATTGCACAACATAAGCTGGCCCATCAAATCTATTGCACAATCTAGATTGCATCACATAGACTGCACCACATACATTGCACGACATATATTGCATACCAGAGATCTCACGGGCTATATTGCACCACATATTGTATCCCACATGAAACGGTCCAGATGTATTGCAAGATCAAATGTGTACCTCATGGGATTTCACCTCATATATTGCACCACGCAGGTGTCCCCATGCATTGCACAACAGATGCTGTACATCAGAGGACGCGCCACTCCGACTGCACAACATAGGTTGAACAGTATAGTTTGCACAGCATGGATTGCACAACATCGACTGCACCACACAGATTGCTCCAAAATAGACTGCACACCATAGAAAGTTTAGAAACTCACTGCTTGGGGTCCGCAATTATAGCAGGAGGGGAAGATGTGTGTGGTTGACATCTCTCCCCGCCCCCTCCGCCCGAGCTCGCTCTCTAACTCTCTCTCTCTCTCTCTCTCTCTCCCTCTGCTCTGCTCTGCTCGCTCTCTCTCTCTCTCTCTCTGTTGTTGTCTGTGTGGTAGAATTATCTCGTTCTCTGAATCTCTCTCTCCCTCTCTCTCAGCCTCGCTTTCTGGAAAACCTCTGTCTCTCTCTCTCTCAATCTCTCTCTCTCTCGCTCCCTCTCTCTCTCTATCTCTCTCTCTCTCTCTCGTAATTCCTCTCTCTCTCTCTCTATCTCTCTCTCTCTCTCTCTCGTTAGTCCTCTCTCTCGCTCTCTCCCTCTCTCTCTATCTCTCTCTTCTCTCACTCTTTCTCACCCATTCTCGTTATCATTATTGTGTGTGTTTTTTTTTATGTTGTCTCTCTCTCTCTCTATCTCTCTCTCTATCTTTCCCTCTCCCTTCGGTGAACGCACTTATGTGTCCTCCCTCCTCCGTCTCCTCCCTACTCCGCCCTCTGGCCCTCCTCCTCCCCCTCGTCCGGCATCCTCGTTTGCCCCCTTCTTCCACCTCCTCCCCTTCCTCAGTATAAGTGCCGTCGTTATCCTTGTAGGCATCTGCGCTGCGCCAGCACGGCTACGCAGCATGAAAGCAACGCTCCCTGATGTTCTGTGTTGAGACGCTGAGTCTGCCCGCCTCGTGACGGCGTACGTGGCGTGGATGTTGATCAGGAAGTCGCCCTTCCTGCCCATGTACCTCCGCAAGATCTTGCGCCCCACCTGGAGTCCATCTGCTCACAGGGGTGCGAAGAAACAGACGGCGATGAGGCGGACGCTACTTAAGCAGAAGAGTCCGAGGCGAAGGGCAAACTGCTCTTGCCGTGCGGAAGCCCCCTACTGTTGTAACGTTCGTTTCCAGTGCGGCTTCTGACATCAACGAACGCCTACGGTTTCCGATCGAACATCCTAAATCCGTTGTCGAAGGCAAGACACATCCGCTAAGGCTAGAACGTTAGGAAAGAAGGCTTGTAATATTGTGTTGGATACGCGATTTATCACACGAAGCAAAGACAAACCTCAAATTAATGCCGACACGGTGCATTCAACATGTTCTGTTCTGCTGCTGCGCCCTCCCAACTTCTCGACGGTTCAGCCTTAGGAAACGGAAGAGATGAGCCCTCGACTCAGAAGCCCAGGGCGTGAACGATTCGGTCACGACCGACTCCACGTTGCAGTTGGGCATCCCTCGCCACCTTGTTTAACTCGAGGTCAAAAAGGGGGTAAGTCGACCCCTCTCCCCCTTCGTGGGGATGTCGACAGGACAGGAATTTGGGGACCAACTTGGGGGATACACGATAGGATTAGGTCGGGCCTGTCCCTTTACAGGGGGATTTTGAGCGACAAATGAAAAAAACTACACCAAACATGTTCAAAAATAATCCATAAATTGCCCCCAGACTATATTCTGACTATTTTTGAATATACTTCCTGCAGGGAGACAGGCCCGACTTCAGACTGTGGGGACAAACTCGGGGGACATACGATAGGAGGAGCGCCCATCCTCGATAGGGGTGCGTCCGAATTGCCCCCCGGGGGTGCCGAGTTCCCCTCCTGTCCTGAGCACCTTGATCTGGGCTTGGGAAGCTCTGGGGCTGAGGCCGAGGAATCGCCCGCCAACGCTGGACGGGTGGCCGTCTTTGATCCGGGGGTAGGAAAAGGGTGTGCTGTAAAGTCGGGTGTTGTTAGAAGTACCCCTGGCCCAAGGTACCCCCAGGATTCTCGGGGTGGCCCGACAGCCTCCAGGGCACACCTTACGACGCCCAGAGGGCCTGCGGGGCTTCAACATGGGACGAAAAGCTGGGGGCACCTCGGGCCAGGGGCACTTCTAGCAACACCCGACAAAGGGGTGTGGTGGATCCGGCGAGGTTCTTTATCGTAGATACCATCGCCATTTCCACGATTGGCACCACACCCCCTTAACTATGCCAAACCCCTTTTCCGAGCATCAAATTTGAAAACGGCATCCTCGATGTGCTCCGCGGTGACCCGGTGCGGAGAGGCCGCGACAATGGACTTGCCCAGGAGGACATCCTGCCGCCGGCCAACCAATGCAAATCTGCGGGTAGCGAAGAGCAGCGCAACGGCGGCACGATCAATGGCAGAAGGATGTCCGACGTCCCCAAATCAACACTGCACACTACTACACGACCGTCCCCACCGCACCTCCCGACAGCGGCACCTCCTGACCCAAACCACCTCGCCCGTAGCACCGGCCTGCTCCCTTCAGCCTCCGGGGCGAGCCTCTCAAAGCGCGCCTGGAACCGAGAGAATCCACGCTCCCCTCCCAGCAAGGGTACGCCCAAATACTGGTGTGACTGAGATGCTCGATTTTGGAAGCCCTGGACCCATGGCATTGTGAAAGGGGCCCCAGGACACACAAATAGATACACACAAATAAAAAGATGTCCCATATCTTCCCATATTTTTGGGTTTTTTGTTTTCCCCCCCACTTCCCATATTTTCCAATGTTTTCTGGGGAATCGACGATTCATAGTGTCTGTGTGTTCTTTCCCCTCCTGACTACCTACCAAACCACCCCAACCCAACCCGAAGACCCGAATTTGACCCGAATTTCGGGTTGGGGGGGGTACGGGTTCCATATGTTTTTTCGACGTTCCCCGACCCCCCCCCACTGGAAATGGAGGGCAAATTGAGGCCTTCGGGTTGGGTTGGGGTGGTCTGGTAGGTGGTGACCTCCTGACTTTGGGGGGGGGGCATCCTTTACCCCCGCCGCCGTTCGCCAGCCGTCCGCCCGCGGAGAGCCCGCCCTCGACTTTTTCTCTTCCGCCGGCTTCCGCCGAGGGCGAGGTGCGGACCCCTTCGGCCCTCGACTGCGAAGCCTGCTCTGGCACGCGCCAGATTTGGGCGGCGCGCACAAGACCCAGACCCCCTCGAGTCATGAAAAAATCACGACGGAAGGTTTTTCGCTATTTTCGGCCTCCGGGGGCCCTTACCGGCCCTCAGGACCGTCAAAAAACGACTCGGGATGAAAAGCCGGTCCCGGGGAATGGGTCCGGACCTCTGGGGGTCGCGTCATGAAAAAATCATGACGTCGGGGGTCTGGGAGAAGGGTTTGGGGGAGGGGGGAAGGCTTCTTAGAAGCAGGCTGCGTCTTAGAAGGCGCCGGTCCTGCATCTATAGATGCAAGAGCGGCGCCTTCTAAGGAGCAGGGGTGCTTCTAAGAAGCCTTCCCCCCTCCCCCATACCTCCGTCTGCGCGTGGCCGAATATTATACAGTCGAGGCCCTGAAGAAGGAGCCCTTTTGGTTGGGGAGGGGCTCTGCGTTCCTTCAGTGTTTCACAGCTTGCCTCCGGTTTTCCTTATGTTTTCGATCGGAAATCGAAGTTTAACTCATGGAAAAAAGGGGCCTCGGTCCCCCATTGAGGGTTCCTTAGGTCAACGCCCCGCCTGTATTGGGGCAGAGTCGTTTGCGAACCACGGCCCAGGGCCCTTTTGCTATCGGCGGCCCCGGCGAGCGCAGGCGCGCACCTATTACCCAGACCCCCGACGTCATGATTTTTTCATGACGCGACCCCCAGAGGTCCGGACCCATTCCCCGGGACCGGCTTTTCATCCTGAGTCGTTTTTGGACGGTCCTGAGGGCCGGTAAGGGCCCCCGGCGGCCGAAAAGAGCGAAAAACGTCCCGTCGTGATTTCTTCATGACTCGAGGGGGTCTGGGTACGCGTCTGGGCGGGACCTCTGGGCCGCGGCGGGCGCCAAGCGCGCTCTCTGCAGCGGGTGGAGAGGCGCAGGGCGGCCGCGGAAGCGGAGGCCCCGGAGCGAGGCCCGCGGCGGCCGTGGAGACTGTCGAGGGGGCGGGCGCGCGCAGGGCGGCTGCGGGCACCGGAGATCGGTGTGACGTTCCCAGACCCCCTCGAGTCATGGCAAAAATCACGACGCGCGGCTTTTGGCTATTTTCGGCGCCTCTAGGGGCCCTTACCGGCCCTCAGGGCCGTCAAGAAACGACTCAGGAGGAGAAGCCCGTCCCGGGGAATGGGTCCAGACCTCTGGGGGTCGCGTCATGAAAAAATCGTGACGTCGGGGGTCTTGGTTCGAGTGGAGCGCGAAGAACCGGGCGGACTTTGCCGTCGAAACAGCGG